CACCACCGCAGTGGCGGCCCTCCCCTGAGAAAGCGCCCGCTGCCCGGGGGGCCGCAGCGGCCGCGCACAAGCCGAAAAACAAGCGGCGGGCTAAGCCCGCCCGCGGCCGCGGCCACAACGGCCTCGCCGCCCGGGCCGCCGCCGCCTGCGCCGCCGCCGCCGCCGCCTTGATCGCCACCTCCTGGTGCGGCGTCGGCGCCGCTGCTGCTCACACCGCGTGCCATGCGGCGCTCCTCTCTGCCCTTCCGCCCCTCCTTCAGGATGGCGCTCTCCTCCTGCATCCTCTCTGCCACGTGCTTCTCCAAGGACGGCGACGCGAGAGCATGGCCCGTGGAGCGGGTGCCGCCCAGGAAGATCCTGCGCTCGTCCAGCCAGCCGTCCGAGTCTGCCGTGGCCCCCGCAGTGCCTGAGACCTCGACCTGGCGCAGGGCCTCGGAGTACACCTCCTCCCACAGCTGGAAGCGCCTGGCCGCCAGCTCGAACGCCTCGCAGCCGGGGAGGTTGAGCTGGTCGGCCGTGGAGGCCGTCTCGATCAGCTCGCACAGGAACAAATGCTCGTCGACCCCGGGGTCGGCCGCAGCCAACCCCAGGATCTGTCGCCACCAGTAGTGCCGCTGGACGGGCCCGCTACCCTGCTCCAGATGTGCCTGAAGCAGCCAGCCGATGGTAGCGGGCCCCTGCACGCGGCACTCCTGAGTACTGAGCACCTTGCGCTGCTCGGCCACCACCTCCGCGAAGGCGCGCCGCTGCTGGCCCGTGCCGCTCCTCCGGTACCTCAGGATGCGCTCGTCCAGTACCTCATCCTGCGCGTCCCGCGGAAAGAGCGGCACCTCGTCGGAGAGGGCCCCCGCTCGTCCCAGCGTGATGACCCCCTCCGGGAACGAGGCCATGGCGCGATCGTCCAGGGCGTAGACGGTGGCGAACGTCACGTCCACTGGCGAGCCCCGCCTGAAGCCCAGCCGCGACTCCAGGGCGACCCAGCCGTCGTCCAGCCGCACCGGCGGCAGGGGCCCCCCGCCGGCGCCCGCGAGAGGCGGGGGGGCGTGTGCCGGCGGTGGCCGAGGCGGCTCCGCCGCGCCGGCGGCAAGGCCGACCTCGGAGCCACGCGGCGTGTCCGTGCCACAGTCCGCCGCCGCAGGGGGTGCATGCTGCTTCCCTCGGAGCCGGCGGATGGGCACTGGCCCCGGCGGCACCGACTCACAAAGGGCCTCGCGGCGCTCCGACTCCGCCAGCCGAGCCCCCTCGTCCATGAGAGAGACTAGGCCCTGTTCGTCAAGGTCGAAGCGGCACAGCATCTTCTTGCGCAGCTGCGGCGGTGCTCCACCACGCGGCCCGGCGCGGTGGATCTCCACATGATCCTCGTCAGCAAAGTCCTCGACGTACACGTCGCCGTCAGGCGTCGCCACTGCCCGCCGTGAGCCTTCCACGTGGGCGCACAGAAGCCTCTCGTGGTACAACCTCTCCTCCAGGCTGTACAGGCAGTACAGCTTGTCCCCCAGGCGGGACGTCCTCAGCAGGTCTGGAAGCCCTCGCGGGACCATGGCCATGGAGCCTGCCGGCGAGATAGCCGATGATGAACGCGGCGCACACCGCGAGGCACAAGACTGAGGCGACCTCCCAGAAGACCGAGGGACACTCCAACGGGGCGCTCCGAAGCTGCTCAGGGCCGCACCTGTCTAGTTGGCGCTGAAGGACCTGCAGCAGCTCTCTGTCGTGCTCCCCTGTGAAGGTGCACGTGCAGTGGCAATCCCTGCGGAGAGATGTCCAGAGGTTGGCGGCGTACAAGCCAGTCGCAGCCCAATCGCGGACTACTGGGGCGAGTCCGAGCGCGAGCCCTGCCATAACAAGCGAAGCTTCGAGCAGAAGCGATGGCTACAGAGCGAGAAAAGCGGACATCAGAAATGAACAATACCGTGCACTACTAAGGGCCTTTTGGGCCGTCTTGAGGACCATGCTTCTTGGGCACTCTAGGGGCGATCTTGATGGCCTCTTGGGCAGTCTTGGCCCGTCGGAATCCGAAAAGGAGCAATAGCCAAAAACCTATGGAAAATCAATGATTTGACCTCTTCGGGCCGTCCGTGAGGACCCTGGAGGACCTCTTCGAGGCCTCTTGGGCAGTCTTGGAGGCCTCTGGGAGGCGTCTGGGGCCGTCTGGGGCCGTCTTAAGTGTTTCTTGTGCGAACTTGGAAGCATCCTGGACTCTTGGGCCGTCTTCGAGGCCATCTTGGACCATCCTGGGCGAACTTGGAGGCCATCTTGTGTAATCTTGGCCATCTTGGAGCCGTCTGGAGCCGAATAACCCTTTGCAACCACCTGTTATGCGTCCTTCCGCGTGGCCGGCGGGATCGGCCGAAACCACAGGGGAAGTTCATGTGGAAAAAAACAAAACCAAAAGCGAAAGGATTCCGCACGCCGGGCACCCCTGTGATGAATCAACAGGGGGCGGCGGATCGAAGACGCCTACAGCGAATCACCGCCGCCCCCTGCCTTTTTGGAAGCGCTTATGTGGCCGACCGTTGAGGCCAGCTCTGCCAAGCTATCGGACCATGTGTTCCCCGAATCGGTTTGGAAAGCCTTCGGGGAACACGTGGGCATCTCGAAGGTCATCTTGGCCGCCTGGAGGCCATTTTGACCCTTTCGGGCCTTCTTGTAGGACGTCTTGGACGGCTCTTGGGCTGTTTTCGAAGCCATCTTGAGCGTCTTGGAGGCCTCTTGAGCCGTCTTGGGGGCCTCTTGGGGCCGTCTTGGGCCCCCTGGGCGATCTTTGGGGGCTCTTGGGCCGTCTCGGGCCGTCGGAAGGCAGAAAACAAGCAAATGTCGCAATCCTTCAAAAACCTGTGCGAAATCAATGATTTATGCCCTTTCGGGCCTTCCTGGAGGCCCTCTTGGAGGCCTCCTCTTGGGCCGTCTTGGGCCATCTTAGGGCCATCTTCGGCCGTCTTGGTGGGCTCCTGGCCCGCCTGACGCCGTCGGAAGCCGTTTGGGTGGTCTCTCTGGGCCGACTTGGGGCCCTCTCGGGGTGCTCCAGGGCCGTCTTGGAAGCCATCTTGGCGTCTTAAAAGGCCTCCTGGGCCGTCTTGGGGGCCTCTTGGGGGCCTCTTGGGCCGTTCTGGGGCCATCTTGGAGGCCTCTTGCGCGATTGTTGGGCGATCTTTTGGGGCACTTGGGCCGTCTCGGTCCGTCGGAAGGCCGAAAAGAAGCAAATGTCAGAATCCTTCAAAAGGAAAATCAATGTTATTGGCCTTTTTCTTGCTTTCCTGGAGGCCCTCTTGGAGGCCTCTTGGGCCGTCTTGGGCCAGCTTCGAGCCAACTTCGGCCATATTGGTGGGTTCCTGGCACGTATGACGCTGTCGGGAGCCGTCTTGGGGGCCTCTCGGAACCGACTTGGGGTCCTCTTGGGGCGCTTCGGGGCCGTCTTGGAGGCCATCTTGGGCGTCTTGGAGGTCTCTTGGGCCGTCTTGGGGCCGTATTGGAAGCCTCTTGGGCCGTCATGGGGCCATATTAGAGGCCTCGTGGGCGATCTTGGGGCGATCTTGGCGGCCTCTTGGGCCGTCTTGAGCCGTCGGAATACCGAGAAGAGGCAAATGCCCAAATACTTCAAACACCTTAGGAAAATAAACGGCTTGGGCCTCTTCGGGCCCTCCTGGAGGACCTCTTGGAGGCCTCTTAGGCCGTCTTGGAGGCTTCTTGGGCGAACTTGGAGGTATCTTGGACCCTCTTGGGCGAGCTTGAGGGCCATCTTGGCCATCCCGGAGGCCATCTTGAGCCGTCTTGGAGACTTGTTTTGCGGACGTTGAAGTCGTTTGCGGTCCTGGAAGAGCCTTCCGGGACCCCGGCGGGCTGGGCCGAAGCCCCAGGGGGAGTTCCTTTAGAAAAAAGGCCAAAACCAAAACCGAAATCATCTAGCACGCCAGGCACCCCTGCGATGAATCAACAAGGGTTCCTATCATAAGGGCGTGGCCACCCCATGGGGTCTGCGGAAACAGCGACAGCGCACAGATTAAACCGAGAGACGAGGGATCATCAATCTCTTTTCATCAGGCAAGCGCCGTGGGACACACGGTGGTACTCTAAAGAATCGAGCCGGGGAAGTGGGACCACTTCGGCGGCTAAGTGCAATCACCAAAAATTGCCACGCACACACACACAGCCATTACATTTGCGGTGTGTGGGGGTCGGTGGGTGGGAGCTTGAGCAGGAGCGGTTTCGGAGCAGAGGGAGAGAGCAACAGCAGGAGCAGCGAACGAGACGGACGCGGCTCCACTGCTCTGAAACTCCCGAGGCCACTCGCACTTAGGAAAACGAGTCAGAGACAAATCATTCCTATCATAAGGGCGTGGCCACCCCATGGGGTCTGCGGAAACAGCGACAGCGCACAGATTAAACCGAGAGACGAGGGATCATCAATCTCTTTTCATCAGGCAAGCGCCGTGGGACACACGGTGGTACTCTAAAGAATCGAGCCGGGGAAGTGGGACCACTTCGGCGGCTAAGTGCAATCACCAAAAATTGCCACACACACACACACACACACACACACAGCCATTACATTTGCGTCCCATCCCCATCGTCAAATGCCCTTGGGAGGGCGGGTGGGTTAAATCATTATCCCTGCTTTGGTCCGAGGCTGGGGCGAAGAGACAAGACTAGGCAGCACACACGCGCCTGAGGATGTCACGAACCGTTGAGTCAGTAAAACGGGCAGCTGACAATTCTGCGGTTCGGTAAGCTTCGACATCTGACGAAGGGCGTACTCGTGCTTTTCATCAATACGAACACTCGCTCGGGCGCGCCAGCACTGGCGCTGCCGGATGGCCTTGTCCGATCGAATACGGTTCAGAGCGTCGTGCGAGGGCCCTTTGCGGCGCAACTAGTGAGGGACTGACAGGAGATCACCAACTCCTGCTGAGTGGGCGGCCTGCTTCAGAGTCTTTTCAAACAGAGAAAGGGAGAAAGATAGAACAGAGTTGGCAGCTTCGGGCGTCTGGCACGGGCTCAGCCTATGGCTTGTCGTCGCAGGTCAGTTGGACGGCCTCGCACTGTGGCGGCTCTCGCGGCGTAGTCGGGAGCTTTGCCGCCCAGCCAGTCAGAGCATCTTTGGCTTTATGGAACCGAGGTCGTCCAGCAGACCATCTTTGAACTTTGCAGAGCCCATGCAGCGTTCTCGAGTCAAGTACTGGGCCCACCTCTAAAGAACGAGTTTCCGAAGCACAAGTCGAGCGTCTCGTTTGTGAGCTCCGGCGTGGCCAGCAGCAGGCTTCGGCGATTGGCGTAGTCGGTCAGCCCGATCACGGCGGAAGTGTAGCTGTCGACTGTGGATGGCTGCAGCGAGGCCAGGCGGAGGTACTCCCCCCGGGTTGGCTTGCCGCTGACTGGCAGCGACGTCTCCACGCGCGGCAGCCTGCGCTCGGCGGCGCCGGGCGGCCACGGCCACTGGGCGGGGGACAGGGTCACGTTGGCCTCGGCCTGCGCGCCTGGGCGTCAGCACGGCTGAGTCGACGCCTGCCTCGACAGATGCCCGGCGGGCGTCGACGCCGGGCATTGCCCGCGGCTGCCAGTGCGACCGCGGCTGCGCCGGCGCTGGCGCAACCGCCACGTCAGCGGCTGCGCGGGCGCGGGTCGAGCGCGGTGGCCCACCCTGGCCTCCAGGGGAGCCGAAAGCGCTGCGGGCAGATCGGCGCCGAGACTCCGCGAGGCTCGGCGACCCCGGCCGTGCTTGCCAGCGCGTGAGCCCAAGCCTGGAGGTCATCCTGGGTCGAGCGCCCGAAAGCACTCTGAGGGGCGTCTGGGCCAGCCAACGAGACCAGCAGGCGGCACCAGCTGGGTGGGTAAGCACCGGCCAAAGTCGCACGCCACGTCCAACCTCGCGTCGGATGTCGGACCTTGCCTTGCAGCTCGACCCTGTGGCGACCAGCACAGCAGCAGCGCAGTGCAAAATGACCCAGCCCAGGAAGGCTCCCGGCGATCGCACCTGGCTTCTTGAAGGGCGCGCCAAACCTGCACGAGTCAAACAGCACCTTCGGCCAGGCAAGGCGCTGCAGCTCGCGCTGCAACGCGGGCCACTTCCAGACTCGGCTCGCAGGCGGGTTCTCGAAGGTGACGAAGATCCCGAGGGTTCGGCAGAGCCGTAAGGCACGGACTGTGAACGCCACGAGCGCGCGGTCTGCCGGCAATGGATCGCGGGTGCCCCCAACGGGCACCCACCTCGTACAAGGCAGCCCCAGGTGGACCCACCAGACTTCTCCTGACTTGAGCCAATGTTCAACAAGACGTTGGACTCGACGGCTCGTGAGGTCACAGTGGGGCCCATACTTGGAGTCCATCGGGGGCATGATCCGAAAACCTCGCTCATGCAACGCACCACTGAGATTTGCAGTACCCGCGAAGATCTCGAGGAAGGCTTTACGAAGGGGACCCCGTCGAGGAACTTCAGGAGGCCGAGGGCGCTCAGCCGGTGCCCGTTGAGGCTCTTCGTGTGGCCCAAGGTGTACAGGTGGGCCCTGTTGAAGAACTTCAGGAGGCCGAGGGCGCTCAGGAGGGTCCGGTTGAGGACCTTCGCGTGTTCCAAGATGTACACGTGGGCCCCGTAGAGGAACTCCAGGAGGCTCGAGTGCAGCAGGGAGGCATCGAACATGCTCAGGTTGGTCTTGTCGGGGTCGGTCGTTGGGGCGTGCTTTCGAAACTTCATCTTGATGCCATTTACTCTGGTGAGAAGAAGAATGCGTGGTAGAGAAGAGCTGAGATGACAGAGGTGACGGAATGCAACAGTCTCTTTCGGTGTTTTCAGGCCCCAGCGACTCGGCCTGCTCTCGTCCGATCTGAAACTCGATGACCGCGGTCGGCGGGGCCTCGGCCCTGCCCGCGGCAGGCGGGACCACGGGAGAACGGCGGCAGCCGCTGGTGGGCGTCGACAGGGCGCCTCGTCCGCGGTAGCGTCCCGCGAGGAGCTCCCCACGGTCGGCCGCCCGGCTCCCGTGGTCCGCGACGTTGTGCATGCCTGGCACGTGCCTCGGGCGCCAGCGGATCTCGCACCCGAGGCAGACAGCCGCAGCCCGGCGGCACTGCGCCAGGAGCTCAAAATTGGTGGCCCTGCCCTTCTCAAAGGCGAGGACCGACGACATGTTGTCGCACAGGCTGAGGATCTCCTTCCCGTGGAAGTTGACGTCGCCTGCCGCTCTCCATAGCGGTGCGACGGCGGCGCGCGCCTCGAGGGCGTGGATACGTCCCGGTCGGCGCCACGCGCCACGGCGGCGCTCCACCCAGCGGCCAGCGTCCAGCAGAGCGGCCGCCAGCGGCTCGGGCGGGACTCCGATCTCCAGCTCGACCCGGCGCCTCTTCGCCACGGCGTGCCGCAGCCGGGGCGGCACCTCGACGGGCAGTGGCCCGGAGATGTCGCAAAAGCCGGCGGCCCGCCCTTCGTAATGCTCGTCGTCGGGCGCGACCTCGGGCTCGGTGGCAACGAACCGCTGGCGCTCGCGCCATCTGGTGGCCGCCAGTACCTCCCACGGCTCCAGTCGGGCTTCACAGACGGCGTAGCCTCGCAGCGAGCTGTCGGTCGTGAAGGCGACGTCGGACGGCACGCGGCACAGGTCCACCTCGCCGAGGAAGACGAGGCCTGCAGCCACTGCGAGCTCACCGAGAACTTCTCCAGGCAAGCGCACGACAGGGGACAGGTCGCCGTCTCCGATGAACGTGTAGCAGGACCCCAGCACGCTGAGCCCGGGGCGCACGACGGAAAAGTAGTGGACCAGGTGGCCGACGATCCGCCGTAGCTGCCAGCGGGCGAGCCATGGCGTCCGAAGCACGTGGTGCAGAGCCAGGTAGAGCCTCCAGGCACGCTTGGCAGTATGCCTGAGTCGGCCCTCGCGCCCGTCGAGCACCAGCCCCAAAATGACAAGGCCGGGCTGCGCGCGCTCGAGCTCGTGCCAGCGAAGCCCACGACGATCCAGTTCAGCAGTGAGCTTGTCCAGCCGGTCGTTGAGCGCCGGCGCGCTGAGCGCGACAAGATTCCCGTTGTCGACGTACGGCGCCCTGACGACAGCCTGTCCGACGAGAGTCGGCGCACGGGCTTTGTCAAGGCACCAGCCGTCGCCTGGGAGGCCCGCCTCGTCCATCGCGTCGACGAGAACCTCGTGGCAGATCCAGAGCGCCCAGCTCCAGCCCATGGGCAACGCCGCGAAGCAGGGCCAGATGACGTCGTCGCCTGACACAGCCACGCGCCGCCCGAGCTTCTCGTCGTAGATCGAGTCGAGCCCGAGCTCGTCGGCGGTGACCTCCACGTCGAAGCACATCCAGCTTCCCCACGAGGGGTCGGCGAACTGGTAGAACCCGTCCATGAGGTCCACGGAGCCTGCGCAGAGCGACTCGTAGCAGCCATCGAAATCCGCCAAGTCCTCGGGGCTCGCACCGACGGCGTCGAGCAAGTTGATCGAGCCCAGCGCCTCACCGGATGCCAGCACAGTCCGAGGGGGGAGCTTGTGCAGCTGGTTGGGCTGACGAGCGTCCACGACCATGCGGATGTCGCCGTTCTTCTTGGCCACGAAGAAAGTACTGACGCACGCCTTCCGACGCGCCCGGCCATCCACCAAGCCCCGTGCGGCAAGTCGTCGAAGGAAGTCGACGAGGCGTGGTCGGTTCCGAGGGTCGCGCGGGTTGAGGAGAGGATCCCAGTAGGGCTCCACGATGACCTCGTCCTCGGGGATGCTCGGCGTGGGCCGAACGACGTCCGAGTTGAAGTGGTCCAGCGCCTCGGTGACGTGCCGAGGGGCGACGTCTCGAAGCTGACGAGGCCGGTCATGTGGCGCACGTCGTAACACATTGAGCTTGTCAGCATCATAGTCGCGGCGAGTAGAAGCCTCGCCCATGTTCGAGTACAGATCCTTGCACTTGAGGAGCTCCTGCAGGGCTCCAGCACAGTCCATGTCTTTCGGTCGGTCGCCGAAGCCGCGAACACGACGTCGGACTCGCTTGATGACCGACTCCTGGGCGGTAGTCGGCCGATGCTTGCCGGGCGCTCGAGGCTCGAGACGACCCCCAGCCCGTGCGCCTGCCAGCGCGTTGAGCGCCCCCAGAGCCTCGAGAGACCTCCGATCACGGTCGTCAGCACGAGCAGCACGCTGGGCCAGATACCGAGGCAGAGCGGCACGTTCTCCACGATGAGGGTGGCGATAGAACTCGTCCCCCTGCGGCAGAGGAAACAAAACTGTGGACGAAGTCCGACCCTCGGAGGAGACCCCCTCGGAGGGCAGCCCGGCCCGACTCGCATTCGCGGCTGCGGAGTCGGGGCCAGGCCCAGTGAGGCCGGGCGGAGCGCCCAGCCATGATGGCGCCGGCATGGCGCCGTCAGCCCTGATCCTTCACGGCGGCCTTGGGCATCGGCTTCACCTTGCCCTTCGGGTCCGCCCTGGGGTCCCTCTCCCTGTCGTCGCCCTGCCTCTCGTACTTCTTCGCCTCCGACACCTGCTCCACCCGGTACATCTGTTCCTCCTTCAGAATGATGCCCTGCGCCTCCTGCCCCTTGGCCACGAACGCGTCGAACTTCGACGTCGCGACGCCTCTGCTCTCGTCCAAGGAGCTGATCGGCGTCAGGTCGAGGCCCTCGAAGCTCAGGTGGCGCGGGCACCTCTTCACCGCCCGCTGGATCTGCAGCACCCGGCGCCCCAGGAGCTCCAGAGACGCCAGGTTCGACGGGTCCACGAGGTCGTAGGTCGCGGCGTGGTGCAGCTGGTTCAACGCGTGCCGCACCTCCTGGGCCACCACGGCGTTCCGCGACACACGTGACTCCGAGACCCAGTACCCCCAGTAGGAAGTGAGGGTCAGCCCCGTGACAAGGATGGCGGCCAGCAGCTCGGGCAGGGCCCTCGACCCCCAGGACGGCCAGTCGCCAAAGTCGACCGCGTTCATCCTCGCGATCGCCTCCCCGAGCGTCACCTGGCCCCCGCGAGCCCGCCGCGCCAGCGGGAGGATCCCCGGGTCGCGCCCCGGGCCTCGGCGCTTCTCCCCGCGCCGGCCCTCCTCGTCGGCCTGCTGTGCGCCCTCGACCGAGACCCGCCCCTCCTCCTCGCTGAGCAACGCAATGCCCACAGCGTCGCGACTGATCAGCCGCTCCGGGTTCCCAATGAGGTGGAGGTCCAGCTCGCGCCAGAACTCGGGCGAGCCTGGGTCCGAGACGATCCAGCGCGGCACGACGCCGCCAGCAGCCCCAGCCGGGGCAGAGACGCCCATGGCCAGGGCGAGGCCGCGCGCCTCCTCCCGCAGCGCCTCGATGTCCTCGTTCGACTGATCGCCGAACGCGTAGACCTGCCCCCGAACCCAGGCCGGGAACGGGGACGCCCGGCGTAGGGGGCCGACCAGGTGCTTGCTGAGGTCCAGCGTCAGCACCTCGCCATCGGGAGTCGTCGGCACCCAGACGCCAGGGCAGAGCTGCTTGAGGAGCTCCCTGTGGTGCCTCCGAAGGTTCTCGTCGTCGTCGTAGCTCGCGCACACCTGAGGCTCGGCCGCGTCGGGCGTATGCATCGCCGCCGCCACCATCTCGCCAACGGCCGACGATCAGGCTACGCTCGCACTGCCCGGAAGCGGCGCTGAGCGCCACCGTCCTGGCCCGCTCCGTCGTCCTCGACGAGCAGGCCCACGGGCGCCGCACCCTCGCGCCGCGGCAGGTCGGTCCTCCCGACGAAGAGCGAGGCGGCCCGGGCGGCCCAGCCCAGCACCACGCGGAGGCTGCCTCCGCCCGCGAGGCCAGCGGCCAGGGCGGCCAGGACCGCCCACCAGCCTGGCCCGGTCCCGCAGGTCAAGCTGCAGCCCGGGCAGCTCGGGCAGCCCGGGCAGGGGGCGGCGGCCGCCGCTGGAGGGCACACAGGGCAGGCCCCGCACGCCACGCGGGCCTCCGGGCACGCGGGACAGCGCGAGAGCCACGCGGTCGCGATGGAGGCCGCCCAAGGGCCGGCTGCGGCCCACGGCACCACCATGCACTGCCGGGGGCCCCACGAATGATAGAGCTTGAGCAGGAGCGGTTTCGGAGCAGAGGGAGAGAGCAACAGCAGGAGCAGCGAACGAGACGGACGCGGCTCCACTGCTCTGAAACTCCCGAGGCCACTCGCACTTAGGAAAACGAGTCAGAGACAAATCAGCGGCGGATCGAAGACGCCTACGGCGAATCACCGCCGCCCCCTGCCTTTTTGGAAGCGCTTATGTGGCCGACCGTTGAGGCCAGCTCTGCCAAGCTATCGGACCATGTGTTCCCCGAATCGGTTTGGAAAGCCTTCGGGGAACACGTGGGCATCTCGAAGGTCATCTTGGCCGCCTGGAGGCCATTTTGACCCTTTCGGGCCTTCTTGTAGGACGTCTTGGACGGCTCTTGGGCCGTCTTCGAGGCCTCTTGAGCCGTCTTGGGGGCCTCTTGGGGCCGTCTTGGGCGATCTTTGGGGGCACTTGGGCCGTCTCGGGGCATTCCTTCAAAAACTCATGGGGAATCAATGATTTCAGCCTTTTCGGGCCTTCCTGGAGGCCTTCTTGGAGGCCTCTTGGGCCGTCTTGGGCCATCTTAGGGCCATCTTCGGCCGTCTTGGTGGACCCCTGGCCCGTCCGACGCCGTCAGAAGCCGTTTGGGGGGCCTCTCTGGGCCGACTTGGGGCCCTCTTGGAATGCTCCAGGGCCGTCTTGCAGGCCATCTTGGGTGTCTTAAAAATCTCTTGGGCCGTCTTGGGGCCCTCTTGGGGCCGTCTTGGGGGCCTCTCGGGCCGGTCTGGGGCCATCTTGGCGGCCTCTTGGGCGAGCTTTGGGGCCCAAAGCTCGCCCAAGAGCCTTGGGCGATCTTTGGGGGCTCTTGGGCCGTATCGGGCCGTCGGAAGGCCGAAACGAAGCAAATGTCAACATCCTTCAATCACCTATGGAAAATCAATGTGTTTGGCCTTTTCTGGCCTTCCTGGAGGCTCTCTTGGAGGCCTCTTGGGCCGTCTTGGGCCATCTTAGGGCCATCTTCGGCCGTCTTGGTGGGCTCCTGGCCCGTCTGACGCCGTCGGAAGCCGTTTGGGATGTCTTTTTGGCCGACTTGGGGCCCTCTTGGGGTGCTCCAGGGCAGTCTTGGAGGCCATCTTGGGCGTCTTAAAGGCCTCCTGGGCCGTCCTAGGCGCCTCTTGGGGCCGTCTTGGGGGCCTCTTGGGCAGTCCTGAGGCCATCTTGGAGGCCTCTTGGGCGCTGTGGGGGCGATCTTGGGGGCCTCGTGGGCCGTCTTGGGTCGTCGGAAAGCCGAGAAGAAGCGAATGCAAAAATCCTTCATGAACCTCAGGAAAATCAATGATTTTGGCCTCTTTGGGCCCTCCTGGAGGACCGCTTGGAGGCTTCTTTGGAGCGTCTTGGAGGCCTCTTGAGGGCCTTTTGGGCCGTCTTGGGCCATCTTGAAGCTATATTAGGCCGTCTTGGAGGCCTCTTGGGCAGTCTTGGAGGCATCTTGGGCCCATCTTAGCAGTCTTGGAAGCCATCTTGGGCCATCCTGGGCCATCTTGGGGCCGTCTGGGGCAGGAAAACCGTTGGCACCCCCCGGCGGGACGCGTCGGAGCCCCAGGGGGAGTTCTTTTGGAAAAGAATCAAAACCAAAACCGAAATCGTCTAGCACGCCAGGCACCCTTATGATGAATCAACAGGAGGCGGCGGATCGAAGACGCCTACGGCGAATCACCGCCGCCCCCTGCCTTTGTGGAAGCGCCTATGTGGCCGAACGTTGAGGCCAGACCTGCCAAGCTATCGGACCATGTGTTCCCCGAGTCGGTTTGGAAAGCCTTCGGGGAACACGTGGGCATCTTGAAGGTCTTCTTGGAGGACGTCTTGGCCCTTTCGGGCCTTCTTGGAGGACGTCTTGAAGGTCTCTTGGGCCCTCTTGGGCCCTCTTGGGGCCATCTTGGAGGCCACTTGGGCCGTCATGGGGCCCTCTTGGGGCCTCTTGGGCGATCTTGGGGGCCTCTTGGGCCGTCTTGAGCCGTCGGAATGCAGAGAAGAAGCAAATTCCCAAATCCTTCAAACACCTAGTGAAAAAGCAATGATTTTGGCCTCTTCGGGCCCTCCTGGAGGACCTCTTGGAGGCCTCTTGGGCCGTCTGGGAGGCCTCTGGGCGGCCTCTTGGGCCGTCTTGGGCCGTCTTGGACTCTCTTGGGCCGTCTTGGAGGCCGTCTTGGACCATCTTGAGGCCATCTTGGGCCGTCTTGGGTGCATCTTGGAGCCATCTTACCCGTCTTGGAGGCCATTTTGGCCGTCTTGGAGGCATCTTGGAGGCCATCTTGGGCCATCTTGGCCGTCTTGGAGGCCATCTTGGGCGTCTTGGAGGCCTCTTGGGCCGTCTTGAGGCCCTCTTGGGGCCTTCTTGGGGGCCTCTTGGGCCGTCATGGGGCCATCTTGGAGGCCTCTTGGGTGCTGTTGGGGCTGTAGCTGGTCTCCAGATTTTCCCCGTCAGGTTTAGCATATGGTTAGCTTGTCATATTTCACCCGTTGTGACACGTTTGGCTCAAGGGAAAAGCATCTACTGCCCCTGCTGCTGCCACAGTTGGTAGCGGAGCCTGGTGCGGCGGGTGGCCATGGGTGGCGGCGGGCATCCCTGAGGGGGTGAGCCCGGCCGCTGCTTGCGAGCCCCCGCTGTCTCCGGGCTCGCGCCGACGGGGCGGCGCGGCACACGGAGATGCCGGACGACGGCGAGGACGACGACGGCAAGGGAGTGGCTGGTTTCATGGAGACCCCGCCGACAGCGCCACCAGTGGCGACAGGAGCGGCAGGGGGGACTCCAGGAGCCGTGACCCTGTCAGCTCAGCAGCTGACGGAGCTAGTTGCTGGAGCGGTCAGACAGGCCATGCAGACGGTCAAGCCAGCAGGGCCTGCAGCCAGCAGCTCCCAGGGTCAGGACGAGCCCAAGGATAGCGGTTGGGACCCCTGGCGGGATAGTGCAGAGGCAGCAGCAGGTGAAGATGGTGCCGCCCAGGGCTCCCACCGCTGGCATGGTCGGAAAGACTACAGCCAGCAGAAGGACGACTGGAACGACAAGGAGTGGAAGGACGACAGCTGGAAGGACAGCCGCTGGAAGGACGACCGCCAGAAGGACGGCCAGACGGACGGCGCGTGGAGGGACTACGACACGAGCTGGCAGCGGACATGGTCTGCTTCAGGTGCTGGCGGCGGAGGCGGCGGCTGGCACGGGAAGGGGGACTACAAAACAAAAAAAAAAAAAACAAAAAATACAAAACAAAAACAAAATCAAAACAAGGAAAAACAAAAAAAAACAATAAAAACAAAAAAACAAATACAAGAACAAAAAAAAAAATAAAAAAAAAAAACAAAAAAAAAAAAACACAAAAAAAAAAAAAAAGAGAAAAAAACAAAATATACAAAAAAAAACACCACAACCCCCACCCCCCCCCACCCACCCCCCCCCCACCCCCCCCCCCCACCCCCCCCACGACCCCCACCGCCCCCCCCCCCCCCCCCCCCACCACCCCCCCCCCACCCCCCCCCCACCCCCCCCCCCCACCCGCACCCCCCCCCCCCCCCCCCCGCCCACCCCCACCGCCCCCCCCACCACCCCCCCCCCCCTCCTCCACCCCCCCCACCCACCCCCCACCCTCCCCCCCCCCCCCACCCCTCTCCCCCCCCACCATGTCACTGGGCAGGACTCAACTACCTCGTCATGGCTCCCGTGCCCATCCCGGAGGTGGAACACCAACACGGACGTCCCCGTCTGGAGGCGCTCAGAGAAGTTCCTTCGGCTGTTCGAGTGGACGATGCAGACGCAGTTCGACAACATACCAGAGAGTACATTGACCAGCGACGAGTGGATAGACGTGGTGCTGAAGAAGATGGACCTCATGATAGGCGAACGTGAGGGAGATGACCTCCGACGCAGTGGCAGGCGAGCTCTGTATGAGGCCTCCCGAGAGCAGAAGGAGACCCTCACGCAGTATGTGGCGAGGCGCGAGGCACAGTTCCTCGAGGCCGAGGGGCACGACCTCATCCTCTCGTCCAAGATCAAGGGGTTCCTGCTCGAGGAGGGCTCCGGGCTCAGCGCCCAGAGCATGCAGAACCTGAGAACCCTGACGCTGGGCAGGATCGACTTCGAGAGTGTGAGCTGGGCGCTCCGACAGATGGACGCATCCGGGACAGAGCGGATGCTTCCAGGAGGTAGGCAGGCTTCTCTGCTCGCCGGTGCCCAGGCCGAAGAGCCGGGCGAGGCTAGCGGCAGCTCTCCTCTCCCCTCGTACCCGGTCGGTTCGTCGGAGGTCGGTCCAGACTCTGGAGTGGACGAAGAGATGGAGCCAGAGGACGACGACTACTACGACGACGGCGAGGACGAAGCGGCGCTCCTCGCAGAGCTTGAGGACCTGGACTTGGACGAGGACCAGATCGACGAGGCCTTGGCAATGATCGAGTCCAGGCCCAACAATCGCACGTGGAAGCAGAACAAAGACATGAAGCGTGCGGCCCGTCAGGACCGCGAGTACTTCGGACGTCCACGGTCCGGAGTACCTCCTCCTCCCCAGCCTCGAGCAGGGCAGGGCGAGCGCGGACGCCCCAGCACGGGGCGCTTCGGCCAGAGCCGAGGCAAAGGCGCTGGCCGCGGTGTGCGCGGGCGCCCACAGCTGTCCAAGGAGCAGCTGATGAAGATCACCCGGTGCGCCATCTGCAAGAAGAAGGGTCATTGGCACCGCGAATGCCCGGACAAGGACAATCCGAGGCACAAGCAGGAGCAGCAGCAGCGGGGCCAGAGGCGCACGGTGTCGGCCTACGCGTTCGTCGGCTGCGAGGCGGTCCCGGAGGAGCAGCTGACCTCGGACATGCTTGAGGACCTCAAGGCAGACGGCCAGTCCGAGGTGTACCTGACGGCGGCTGCGACGCAGGCGTTGGTGGACCCCGGCGCGGGCAGCGACCTGGTGGGGCTGATCGCGCTGAACCGCGAGTCCCGAGCCCTGGCCGACCTGGGGATGTGCTATGA